ATGAATACTTTCGCAATGAATAGATTCCAGACTCCTCTTAATTAGTCGAAGACTTTAGTGAAGGTTTCATATTCCTATGGTTTATGGTTTTGAAGTAGTAGTGATAACAAGGTTTTTCGCACGAAGGGCGATAACTTTTAATGGGGTCAATCTTACGGAATACCAATTTAACCTTTTAAATAGTTTTAAGAATACATATTAATGATGCTAAGATAGTTTGTATATGTTAAGAGACAAAAAAGATATAAAAAGAGCTTAATTTCTCAATTTTGGAATGACCTTGACCTTTGACCTTTGCAATAATTTCATGATCAAAGATCAATGAATCTTATGCAGTTGGTCCCATGTCTCTACGACTTGTCGTTTTGAAAATTTTTAATTATTTGTAATATTCAAAAAGTTTCAGGGGCAATAACTCATTGAAGGGGTCACCGAATGCTTTCACAATGAATAGATTGAAGAGTCTCCATAATTAGGCAAAGCCATTGGTGAAGGTTTCATACCTTTACGGTTTACGGTTTCAGAGGAGTAGCGATAACAAGGGTTTTTAGCACAAGGGGCAACAACTTTTAAAAGGGTCAATCTTAGGGGCCAAGATTTATATCTTCTAAAGAGTTTCAAAAGTACATATTAAAGACATAAGATAGATCGCATATGTTTAAGGACATAAGAGCTATTAAGAGAAATTTATTTCTCATAATTGGAATGACCTTGACCTTTGACCTTGAAATGAATTTAAAGGCAAAAGGTCATTGAATGTTATGCAGTTGGTTTGATGTCTCTAAGACTTTTCGTTTTGAAAATTTTTAATTTTTAGTAAAATTTATAAACTTTCAGGGGCAGTTACTCATTGAAGGGGTCAAAGAAAACTTTCGCAATGAATAGATTGAAAAGTCTCCTAAATTAGTTGAAGACAATGGTGAAGGTTTTATATCTCTACGGTTTACGGTTTCGGAGGAGTAGCGATAACAAGCTTTTCGGTGAAAGGGGCAATAACTGCATAAGGGGTCTAAGTTAAAACATGGGGGGTCATTTTTCGGAATAACTTTGAATATCCAGTATCATGAACTATAAATTTTTTCGATAAGTCTTACGGTGTCAAAACATAAGGTAAGAAATGAAATAAAAAACAGAAGCATTTCAAGAGGTCTTTCCACAGAAAGGTGGAAAGACCTAATAAACAGAACAATTTCAATAGGTCTTTCCACAGAAAGGTGGAAAGACCTAATAACTATAACTGTGTACCTTACAAGTGGACTATTAGAGAAACACCGACATCTTACGAACGAACGTAACTAAAAACGGGGATCAGTCATTGTATTCTATTGTATTCACAGTTGCATTATTAAATTCTTCAATTTTATCGGGATTTCGATAGATAAAATCCCCACAAGATACCTAAAACCCACGTTTTGTCGTGGTCGCTACCGTGACGCTACAATACATTTCAATGGACATTTAAACGATCAAAGGGGTTCAAGAAGGGAAATGAAAGAAAATTTTTATAAAAATGTCATTCTGTGGTATGAAATAAAAGATAATAGATTTGCGGATCTAGTAGGGGTCAAAAGGGGGTTGGGTACTTTACGAAGGGTGGTCGGGACAATAAGGAGTTATGGTCTATAATTAAATTGCAAAAACCCCAAAACTGTAAAGAAATCCTTGTTCAAAATACTATATGCTGAGAAATATAAAATAAATATGGTTTTAATACACAGGTTCCAGGGGGATGCCCGCTCGTAATTTGTCGATTGATAAAGCTTCTTCTTACAAACATATTTCTTAAAAATCTTCATATAATTTTCATGGGTGCTAGTGGACAGGGACCCCCCCCCCCCTCCTTAACATCCCAGACCCAAAGCCTTTTTTTAAATTTCATTGTAAAAGCTCAAAGGCTTCTCGAGATATTGCTTAATAAAAAGAGTAACAGACGGACAGAATTATAAGACAAACCGAAATTAATATCCCCAACTTTCAGGGGGGGGGGGGGAGCAAAATGGAAGTTTAAGGAATTGTGTTTTTTACATAATTTAAGAAGTATGAAAGCAAGTTCCATTGGCATGCCAAAGTAGGACCTTTTCAGTCTCCCCCCCACCCCTGGAATATATATAAATCCGGGTCCATAGATATTTTTTGGATTTCTTTCATTAATAACATTTACAATTTACAACATACAAAATTGATACCTGCAGTATAAAAGTTAAAGGTGATTTAAGATACTAGGGGTATGATTTTTTAAAAATAAAAAGTGAATTCTATGTGTACTTTTTTGATTCTTCATATGAAATACTTTGCAAATATGTACTTGACGGTTAATTTATGAAGGAAAACAAATTTTAATATCGAAGTAGCCGGTATGTATATTGGATGGGGGTGGGGAGGTTGTCTGGTCTACAAGCACTTGTAATAAGCATATGTGTGCACCACAGGTACTTGTGGACAGTACCCCCCCCCCCCTCCGATATTCAACCCCGGGGTTTATTGGACATTTTTTTCAAAAATAATATTTATTACACTTATTTCATCATGTGTACAATATGAAAAAATCGTCAAAACCCCAAAACAATCGCTCCACACAAAAAAACCCACTATTGATTATAAGGGTAGTGGGGTATTTTTTTGTAGTGCAGAGCAAACACGGACCTCTAAAACATCAGAGGTAGGATCAGGTGCCATTAAGGAGTTAGCCAAAATTCCAATACACAAACATCAACCTTTTGTGGGTAAAATGTCGGGAAAAGTACGTTCTACTTCTAAACTGTAAAAATGGTATCAAGTATCAAAACAGAACCACATGGTCACGTGATATTACGTTTGTTTTTGGTAATCCTAACGGGCCAATAAATCTGGTATAATTTTCTGAAATTACAGGAACCATGCCTTCTGCCATCCAGAGTCAGTGCCTAATGCATAAACATTTTTCTTGTGCTGAGGATTAACATACTAAATTCTGTCGCCTGTGTTAATGAAATATTTGTAGTTACGAACAGTATTCAAGATCAAAAGTCCATAAAACAATAACGGAGGAGTGAGCATTCCCAGTCGACCGGTCACAACCACTGTGTGCTCCTTGTCATGATTGGGAGACAATTCGTCGTCAATTAAGTTTATAAATAATTGACTAACAACTAGTATGAAAGACCTCAGTCAGCATTTGACTCAATAATAAAGTTTGTTTGCATACAAGGTCATTATATCGACCATAGATCTTACGTAATGATGACTTTAAACGAGACTGCTGATGTTCTTATTTCATCAACTTGTTTGTCAATAATTTATCCCGTTTTAGAAATCGTTTATACGTAGAGCATGTCCTTGCATATCGAATTGACTGATATATATACACTCCGTATGCAGATGATGAAGGTATAATGCGGAGTGAGGAGTAAAGAAAGATATCGACTTGGTTGAACATTTATTGGAACCCGCTATGTATCTTTGATTGTAAGGATTCTTATGAAGTCTGGGATATAATATATATATAGTAGTTAAAATTCATTTTGGTTCTTTTGGTGAGTATTTAGTAAAATTCTTAGTAGCCCTGCAGGGCAAGTTTAAAGGCATGTTTGGTAGCCCAACCTCAATATTCAGTTGTCCCGGGCCAGCGGGCTACCATTAGTGTCGAACCCTGCATTTTCAGAACTGACATTTGATTTTGTATCCTTTGAATAGTTTCCACCTCAGAAATGTAACTATGAGTATAAGTAGGATTACAACTTGTAGAAATAAATCCGAGTTCTAAAATACAATTTACCGTATAAGTGGAAATTTTAGCGAGACGCAAATTTTGCGATTTGTACTTAGAAATGGGTATTTTATTTTTAGCAAGAAGTAATTTTAGCGATATTAAAAAAGCTCACTAAAGAAGCCATTACAACTAAAACACAATTAATTTTTAGTGATATACAACTAAAACACAATTAATTTTTAGTGATATTCAATATTTAAGCAATCTCAGTACCCTCTCTAATAATGCCAAAATTAACTCCTCGCTAAGACCTCTGCTTATACGGTATATAATGAGCCTCACAAATTTACGAAGACAATGTTGTTACCTGCTTTGTCAGCAGGGACCAGTACGTACTGATCATGTAATCCAATATGTAATGTTATATATGATAAGAAATGCTAGATATAGAAATTATGTTTAATAAAATAAATCATCTCTTAACTGGTGACAGATTTAAATGTTACATCCACACACTATTTTTTGGATAAGAATAATGTATATTTAGCTAACTGTTAACAAATGCCTATGCGAAAAAAATTAATAAATTATATAAATGGGACATATCAAGAATATAAGTATATTCAGCAATGTCTTATCAAAGTACAAGTATTTGTCACTGGTAACTGGTACTTCCTAAGTAATGCCATATATAGACAATTTCTACACAAAAGTCAAATGAATAAACGAAAGAATAATCAGGAAATAATAGAAATGTTCCATTTGTTGATAAGAAGCATACGGAGATAACGATCAGTATTCAAGATTAAAAGTCCATAAAGCAATACAAAATAGGAGCAGAGCTAACACGGACCTCTGAAACATCAGAGGTGGGAGAAGACAAATAAAAAAGGAAGAATTAAGATCAATTCTAAAAACTTATTTACATTAAGATTGGAAACATGTTTTATTCTCTCTCTCTCTCTCTCTCTCTCTCTCTCTCTCTCTCTCTCTCTCTCTCTCTCTCTCTTAATATAAATGAATAATGCACAGTGTATGTACATTGAAGCTATGAAAATAAATCGAAATTCTACATTTGAAACTGTAGTAGCCTTATTAAATATTCACTTCAAAATATTTCCAAAACGAATTAGTAGTAGTATTTACGATACATTACACAAAAAACTCATCATATAATCTTATTGTTCGTCAGCATGATAATATGTATTGCCTGATATCTTTTTAAAGGAGAAAATGAAATAAAAATTTATATGGATGTTCATTCAAAAAAAAAGAAAAGGTAAATACAATATCCTTTAAATGATGACCCTTTCAAAAATAGCACATAACATAAACAATAAGTACATGTACACATATGTTCTAAAAAAATCACATGTTTATATATAAATTTTCAGTAAACATTTGGTCCTTTTCTCCTTATTTTTTCTCTATGAGATATTAATAAGACACGGGCGGATCCTAATTTTTCTACATGAGCTATCAATAGGAGACAGGCGGTGGTCCATTTCCGGAGGATGGGGGGACGGCTATTTCACTCTCACTCCCAATACTGTGTAGTGTCGTTCGTTGTGAGGGGGTCTTAGATGAGTACGGGGGTGGAGCCTGAGAATAAGGGGGCGGAGAATATTTAAGGGCTGGGGGCACTTGCGCACTGTAAGGCGGCGGAAATTGTTGATTAAAAGTCAAATCGTAGGGGGAAAATCCCGGACTGTGATTCGACGACCCTGAAAAAAGGAAATATATAATCATGTTAAAACAATATCATAATTTTAGATGATAAATAGCATAAGGTTTTGTTTAGTGGATGCTTATTGTGGCCAATATTTACATATCAGGGTTGACAGTATTTTATCTAATAACACCCCCCCCCCCTTCAATGAAAGAACCTTTTCTTACTATAATCTCTTATCTTTGTTAAGGGAATGCTTGCCTAATTTAAAGGAAATTAAATTGTAAAAAAAATTTCTATTTTCAAAATCTTTGATTTATAACAATTTCTTGCCTGTGTAAATGGCGCATTAGATGAGACAGCTCTAAACTGTGATAAAGTGTTGAACTTAACTCCTTTGCTTGTAAAGACACCGGTACCGTACCTCAAAATATATCACTAAATTCCGAAGTTTTTGTACACAATGATCTTGACCTTTAGAACTAAATTACTACTGACCTGTGGTGATAGCCATCGTCCTGGACTGATGCAGCACCGTGACGTTTGCTCCTCTGCAGTTGTGACTAGATACCGACACCGGAGGACACGATTCCTTCCGCCAGTGTTTCTTAAGCCAGCAGTACACAATTCCAGCGATGACAGCGATGAGGAGCGCCACTCCGATGATAATGCCGACGATAAGACCGGCGAAGGAACAGCAGTGCTGGTCTTTATAGTCGCCACAGCAGCCATGTTCACAGGGGAATTTATCCTGTCTGTTCTCACAGAACGTCTCCTCCCCGGCAATATCTGTAAATATCACCAGTACTGTAAATATCACCAGTACTGTTGTCAGAATCATAAACAGAAAATTAGTGAAGGAGAAAGTCAAGAAACTGTTCATCTTGTGAGAGAAAGAACTCATTGAGGGTCGTATCTCCTACAAGTTATTATTGAGTCAAATACTGACTGACGTTTTTCATACTAGTTGTTAATAAATTATTTACACACTGAATTGACGACGGATTTTCCGTTAACTCCCAATCATGACAAGGAGCACACGGCGGGTGTGACTTGCCGGCAGGGGATGTCCATAGCACCTGATCCCACCTCTGATGTTTCGGAGGTCCGTGTTTGTTCTGTTCCTATTTTGTATTGTTTTATGGACTTTTGAGCTTGAAAACTGTTCGTTATCTCCAAATATTTTATTCTAGTTTAAACATGATTTCCTGTGTTCTGAAAATTAAATGGAAACTGAACAAAACAATACCAGAAAGGACAGATAGAACACATACTATAAGTTCATTGTTTACAAAAGGACAGTCTCGGGTTAATTTTGGGGGATATTATAATTAAACAAGTATGCGATGCTTCAAAATCAGTTTATAATTTGCACTGCAAAGGTCTAAATGTTTTTTCTCTGATGAAGAGAGCATACGACAGAAACAAATTCTAATGAACCGAATTAGGCGCAAAACGAAAATATATTAGCCAAACTTTGACTTCTTCTCTGGCAAAATACAAATAAGCTGATTAAAATGAAATTTGGAATTGTTTTATTTGAATTAAACTTTGAGCAAATATAGGACTGCAGCAGTTTTATAGTTAGAAACAAATTGTGATCTGCGTTTTGGATTAGGCATAAGTCAAACTTCGATCTGAAAATGTTTTGCAAATCTTTCAATGTTTCATATAATTTTTTTTTGACGGAAAAAAATACTGCAGCAGTGTAATGTTCATGGTATATACCCAATACTGTTTTCAAGGTAGTGGATTTAATACTATTACCTTCCTTTGATCTCAAAATTGATTTTTCCGTTATTTCTTGATCATGACAAGGAGCACACGGCGGGTGCAACTGTCGTGCAGGGGTTGCTCATTCCTCAATAACACCGGATCCCACCTCTGATGTTTTGGAGGTCCGTGTTTGTTCTGTTCCTATTTTGTAGTTTTTTGGACTTTTGATCCTGAAAACTGTTCGTTATCTCCATATTTTTCATGTATAAGATTATGAAGAAATTCTGTTTCCTATGAATACAACAATAGGTCTGATTATAACGGTGCACAATTAGTCTTCATGGAATGGGAAAAACTGATTTTTGAAAGACCGAGTTTCCAAAAATCACAAAGATGCCGTCAATCAGAGACTGAAGCATATTTTGATATTAAAACGCAAGCAATCAAAAAATTTTTAACAAAATAAGTTTAGAATTGGTATAATATTTAATTGAACCCGCTTTGTAGCTAAATGTTTATAAGGATTTTTTAATGAAGTTTCAAAGTCCATTATAGACCATGTTATTCATTCATTAGTTTGGTTATTGTGAATATTTAGAATATTCAAAACTGACATATAATGTTGAGGAATTTTCTTCTTAAAAGTAATCCTAGATATATTTTTAGAAATAATTTTGTAAAATTACTAGAAAATAGGACCCCAAACATACGTGACTGACTCAAATCTATATGCAAAATTTGCATGTCTAAAAAAATAATTTTATTATGAAACAAAACCAAGCAGACGAGGGACTGTGGGACAAATGAATTTTTAATGCCGTGATGAGACTGAATGTAAGAGGGTAAAATCAATACGGTTCTCATTAAAAGATCTCTTTTATCTTCATAATGGCGCTGAGAAAGTATATTATTACCTTACATCAAATAGATTATCATTTATTATGGGATTATTGGGTGTTAATAAGTTCTTTACTTATAGTTATTGAGGAAATACTAAGGGGGTTCTAATTTACGATGTGTTGATAGTTATTCTTAGATATATCATAGATCTTTAATTTAAATTCTGATGTTATATGTACTTCTGATAAATGTACTTTATATGTACATATCCTAAAAAAAAGATATTTATTTATCTATCTATCATTTATTGATTGATCGATTTAGTTTATTTTATTTATTTTGTTTACTTTTTAATTTATTTATTTGACTGATTCATTGATTGATGATCAACTGACAAATCGATTACATGTAACTGAGGCGAATATCGTAACATTGTTGTTTCAAACTTATTCAAGCAAAAAACAGTGTACACAAATGGATTTTGGTCATCGATATATTAATTCGGGTATACAATACAAACATTGTCTTGATGATATATCTTCCAATTAATGATTCAATGTCAATATTTATATCAGTAATAATTCATAGTTTGTGAGTATAGGCAGTGCACGTATGACAAATATTAATTTTTAATTGTTTTTTAACAACCTATCCTAAATCTATTTCATCAAACCGTTAACATTTCAACACTTTTGACACCGTTTGCCAAGCTTATTAATAGACTAACTTTTGAATCTCTTGTTAGTTTTGCGGTCATTTATGCAATTTCATCATCATTTTCAAGTTATAAGTTAAGATGTTCTCTCGTTTTTACCATCATAATTAATTATTTTACCATCATAATTAATTATTTTACCATCATAATTAATTTTACCATCATAATTAATCATTTTGTAGGAAACAAAAAGTAAATCGTGGACGGACCACAATATTGCGTACTTGACTTTGGTAGAAATAGATAACTAAATATGCTATTGAAGCTAGATAACACGTCTGCTTGCTACATTGATAATTTTAATACACTGTGGTATTGTATGATCATAGAATTCTGCTAATGGTGTTCAGATGAGTGATTGATTTGTCATTAAGAAAACTGATCGAACACGTGGATAATGTTGATGTTACGATCTATGGGACTGAAACTGAAATAACTACTGTGGAATCATCATTATTTGTGAGGGACTAATGTTCGTGGATTTCGTGGGCCGACTATCCGCGAATTTACATCCCCACTAATGTTTATTTTGTTAACATGTTGATTCAATGAAGCATGCTATTTACGAATAACCCACAAAATTACGTCTCCACGAACAGGTAAAATTTTGCGTACCCATGAACATTGACCCCCACGAATAAAAATGATTCCACGGTATTATTTATTTATAACTTTTTTTTGTTTTGTCTCCGGTGATGGTAAAGTTTTTCTTATTAAACATACATTTAATTGTTTTAATTATTTTAAACACTGTTTTATTGAAGTCATTTTAAAAAATGACCTTGTATACTTGTTTCTAGAATCTCTGTTACGTAGTTGTATCACATATCGTAACAACTTAACGCAGAAATATGACGTTATTTTTCTTGCGCGTTAAAAAGTCCCTTGTTATTAAGCTAGCCAGTTAGTATATACCACATGCAGGCGAAATAATGTTCACCAATATATGGATTATCACGAATAACCATAGATGTGTACGTTATCCTTATTCCGACATGGATGAAGCATCAATAGGGTATCAATGAATTACCAATAAAGAAATACAAATAAGACAAACGGGAATCATTAAAGATAAAACGAAAACAGAAACACCTTAAATTCGTTAGATAGGACTAAAAACAGACAAACATTTCAGTTTATATCGGCTTACCCGATATGAAGACGATTACAAGGAAGAAAATCTGTTCCAAGATTATATCCACATTCATATTTTGTCCGGACACTTAATGAATCTCAGTTAGGACAAAATCACGGGAACATGCACTGGGTAAAAGGCGGAAATACGACATAGAAGGCGGGTAATCCATCCGCCATCACAGACATCTGCATTTATTTCGTATGCATTTGAACATAAAGCTAGGTTTTTAAAAAAATCAATTATTTGTTAGCTGGGCTTTGTGAGGGGTCCAATTATATTGCGACCGCTCTCAGTTATTGGACGTGTAGTCATAGGTACAACGGATAGATTTCATCGATTTATAACCCGCCATGGATATAATTCCCTCGGGATCGATGTTTTTAAAATTTGTAATTGTCAATAGTCTGCTGGTCCCAGTCTCCAGCAATCGATGTAAGTCCATAACGAGGTCCGGATATACTGTAAAGGCGATGTCAACACTATTGATTTCACATTTAAATTAAATTTTAAAGGTGTTTTTATTTCTCATAACATAAAGAAACGTAAATATTTCAGGTTTATCAGAATATCAATGATTCTGGAAATTGTTTTCCGTGCATTTATTTTGTTTATTTTAGAAACATTAATTTGAAAGGACTAGCAAGTCTTGAATTGAATTTTAAAATGCAATTTCTTTTTCAAAATTTTTTTTTCTTTCATACTGCAACTATTCCATATAAAACATGACACTTTGTATGCTATGGTAAACAAACAAGGGAATGTGGTAATCATTAACATTGACTACAGGTATATAAAGCATTGATTTTTAAGGTATCGCTTTATTTAAAGAAGAATTGATACAAAGGAAGGAGAAAGAGTTTGTAAAGCGATGGAGTGTGTTAATCATCCAGAGCGGGAAGTGTTTGAAGTCTGGTATCTTGGGAGATGTAATGGGACCTATCCCACCTCTGATGTTTTTGGAGGTCCCTCTTTGTTCTACTCCTGTTTTGTATTAATTTATGGAATTCTGTATGTTATCTCCATATATTTCCAAAAATTCCTCAAATGAGTTATGTCTGATTTGAGGAACTGAGTAATTTTCTCCCTTTCAAAGTAACTGTCGTCTTAACTTCACTTTTGTGACAAAGACTGACATCCACGTCTTTTTGTATTCTGTGACCTATATATATACACACGTATTGTGTACATACTATATATATTATCTTATATATTCAGAAAATTTTAGAAAACGTGGGGGTATTTACTGTTAATTTTTAGATTTTACTAAAATAGTTTTATTTTAAGGATGATGTTTACTCTGGTTTCATAAAACAGAAAGGAAATTTTATAAAGTATAATATGTTTAATCAAAAAATTTTCTAAATGAATAAAATAACCATGTGTTAATTTAAAATCAATTAAAACGTTTATATTTTTTATTCGAAGAAAAATATAGAGGACCAAACATTAGTGTATACTGTAATTATGCAGAGGAAATTCGGACTTACTTTTTGATTTTTCATTTTTGTCAAAATTTATTATTTCTTGCAATGTTAATTACAATGTAAAGTTTACATACACAGGGAAAAGTGGCTCGCATGATTTTCATGCGATTGCCTTTTCGCATGAATTTCGTGCGAAAATCATATAAAAATCATGCGAAAAGTTCCACATGCAAATTTCATGCGAATGTCCTCATACAATATTTATGCAAAATTCATGCGATTTTCATGTGACTGAAATTTCGCATGATATTCATGCGAATTCCAAATTATCAGTTTTTCATGTAAAAATCGTGCGAAATTTGCATAAATATCATGCGATATTCATATACAAGAGAAAAAAGCAATGAACAAAGAAATTGAACATTTCAATATTTATTTAGGTTTTTCTGCCACATTGAGTGCATGATAAAAATTGCCAGTCTCTGATATCTTATTGCTTGGATGTTCCTAGGTAATCCATTGACTTTAATGATAGCTGTGTTTATAGGCAGTTTTTCAGTACGTCTCTTTCAGTCTTGTGTCCTGACAAGTGTTTCCTACAATGAAATTTTGATTATTATAAAATACTATTACCCATACTAATATTTCAATTGTTTAGGTCAAAGGGACCAATTCCTAAATTAGGATGACATTGAATGCAATGAATTCAATAATATCACTTGAAAAGATCATGTTTTGGCAACTTGTATTACTGAGTATGTTAAATGGTACTATATGACAGTTTAGAGCAAAACAAAAGACCATGTGTTAAGCACATTCATAACTGCATATTAATAGACTTAAACAAATACAGTGTCTAATTGGCCTACTCTATATATCCTGATAGCAGGCTGCTAATGAACCAAATGAGATAAAATGTTTCATTTTAATTGTGATATTCCTACTGGATGACAATAAACATGTCATTGGTGAATTTTTAATAAATTACATACAACAGTTCAATACTGAAAAGATTGATTTTTTAATCTGATTAGAAAAATTAGAATAGTACCTCAATTGTGAATAAATCAAATACAATTATAGTTACATTTTTTGCATGGACCACAGGGGCATCTTATCCACTCTGTTCTCTACTACACATATATAAAAATACACAAGGGAAGAATCGAAAGTAGCACACGATTTTTAAAAGAAGTCAAAAAATTGCGCTCGGAACGCCTCGGGTACTACCCTATTGTCATCCGAGTGAGTTATCTTTTCTTGGGCGAAGAGTTTCACACTGTGCAGAAAGCTGGGGTTTTTGTTGGATAAAAGCTATTTTGGATGGATCTATTTGGAATATTTTAGCCTGGATAAGTACTAAGACATCATTTGCACTAGTTCCTTTCAGGATTTGTGTAACTTTTCTCAGGTAAGTTGTTTTTTGACTTCTTTTAAAAATCGTGTGCTACTTTCAATTCTTCCCTTGTGTATTTTTATGTGTGAAGTAGAGAACAGAGTGGATAAGATGCCCCTGTGCATGGACTCAAATGAATCCCCTAGAAGAGGGAACTATTGTTGGACCTATCATCCTATGTCTAAATTATTTTGTAGGATACACTTGGTCCATTGAAGCTGTGGTTACAAGTCTCTACATATGTGTCAGAACAAAACACACAGTCTGTGTATTTTGTTGTGACACAAATGTAGAGACTTGTAATGACAGTTAGTTAAAATAAAAATAACTTTTTTAATTACTTACCCAAAAATTAGTAAACTTTCAAATAAATGTCACTAAGCATAAAAAGATCATTCGATTCACCCTGGCTGCGTTACGCAGAACCTGAAATGAGAACGAAATCCGAATTTACTCTGAAAGATTTCGTTGCAAGTTGAATCATCATTAAAAATGTGCATTATAAACACAAAATATGATAAGCAATTAACAAAGCATACATATTTACCATTGTTTAAAGGAATTAGATCACAATCAGCCAAAAGGGAAGTCTGGAACAAACCATAGAAAGGAGCTCTCGCTGACTCGGTTTTTTTTTCTGTAACAGGAAGTGCAAACTGAACCTGGCCATTCAGTTTCGTATTCATCAAAGAATCGGGAAATACCTAAATTTTTATAATTTTCGTCGTTCAAATTTTTATCTTGAAAATGTATCTCCGCTTCAAAGACGAACGCTGATGATTAAGTGATATAAATTTACTTTATGGAACCAAAGCTAGTTTTTTATGGAAGGCCATACGTCACAAATTACGTCATCATGCAGAGCAGAATATTTTCAACTCATGAACTGCATATTTTCTGTAAGTTTGTAAGATTTTCAACTTCTTTTTATACCAGATATATGTAATAACTTTATTTGGGAATATTTGTTGACAGCTTAATAATAACAGATTCAAGTATATCTATAACATTATCTATGGTATGTGTTGAAACTGAAAGAAGGGCCTGGTACAGGTTCTCTGCTTTTCTTACAATATTATTGAAAAGGCCTAGTGAACTAGGGTAGGCCTAATGTTTTGGTTTGTTTTTAGATCCTGTTGCACCTTAATCTGGTATAACGTTATGAACTGCCGCAAGCAAATAACACACATAGTGGCGAATCCAAGGGGGGGGGGGGGGGAGGTTGCGGGGTTGTAGATAGAATGTTCTATCATTATAATGATAAATGTCCTACCGTACGGAACCGGCCACTGAGGGCTTGTCCCGAGACACAGATTATTCTAAGGGGGTTGCAACCCTCCCTTTGGCTTTGCAAAAAAAAAAAAAGGGGGAATAAGAAGAAAGTGTGGTACCACAGCCCGACTCATCCGTGTACGACCTATCTCAACTAACATTGATCTCCCTGATCTCCATCTTGCCAGACGTCTGCTAGACATAGCCTGTCTTATCGACCTAATCTGGAGGGATTTGTCAGGTAATTCGTCGACCATTACGACATTGGCGTCGCCGGTAGCTGTGGAATCTGCGAAATTACGCTTTTCTTGGTTACCAACTTGCAACAACATATTTTTTTGTGAAATCACCGAGCATCTCACGAACCACGTGTTTGCTAATGTTGATGTTTCACAACTTGATTTGTAACGAATAAATACAAGTTTTTACTTATTATAACCCCATTTTTAAGGATTAATTATAGTCAAAACATTAATTTGTCACAGTAAAGTTGATTAATTTTCATATTTTACGATAAATTCCACCCAAATTTTAGGAAAACAAAAGTCACGTGACCTACTTTCCCTCGCTTTTGGTATTACGGCGCGCATTTCGTGCCATATAATATTCATTGCTTTTCAAATTAATATTATTCCTTGAGTATTTTCTTGATTAATTATTTCAAATTCAATTAGAAAAATAGAGTGATTATCACTGAGATTGTATTTCCTGCATTTTGACAATATAGCCCCATATCCTGTGTAGGTATTGGGGCCACTGGCTCTGCTTTTGCTCTAATCTATCATTCTATTTCCTATTTTGTAAACATTTTGAAAATAAAATATTCATAATTGATAATGGCTGCTAGTAAACCAATTAATCTGTACAATGCCTCAGAGACAGACCTGAAATCATTGGAGGGTATCGGACAAGCTAAAGCTAAAAGAATTCTACAGCTTAGGGAAACAAAAGAAGAGTTCGACTTTAATGATGTGGCTGATGTGACCCAGATTGCACTCTCTCAATGGACAGAATGGAGTGAGGCAGGTATTGTTACCATCCAGAAGGCTCAGCCAGAGACTTCAGCAAACCAGCCGGTACAAAAAGCAGAGGATACAAGTGCTACGCAACTGCATTTGACCTTACTGGAAATGAACAAAAGCATTCAAATGCTTCGTGATGAAGTCAACTCCTTACGGTCACAAGTTGTCCTGAAGTCGGATGTTGATTCCATGGGCCAATTGTACAACACACCACCTGTACTGACCAATCAATTTGATATAGAGAAAAGCATCGACAAGTCACTTACTCTTAAAGCTGACACAGTTCAAACCCCAGCCAAGCCGTCAGAAACAGGGAAGGAACAGAAGCTAATTATAGACAAATTGACATCTGTCATTCCCCCTTCAGGATACATTTCAGATCCTTTCAAAGGGACCAAACAAAAAACAAGCACACCCCTGAATGGGAAGTTAGAGAGTGCTGATTTCCAAGATCTAACACCAATTCAGCTGAGCTCTAAGTTTGAACAGGATCTTCACTTCCCATCCAAGAAGAAAGGAAATGGTGAAAAGAAGAGTAATGAAAAATACATATCAACGTCCGCTTCGGCTCCTATTACTTCCCAAGATAAACCCAATGTGATGGGGTCTCTGACTCCTAAGGAACAAAGCAGGGGCAGGAAGACCAAAAAGAGTAACCGAAATAGATCGCCATCGTCCAGTTCCTCCTCAGATGATACCATGTCAAAATGGACTCGTACATCAAGGAGCAGATCCAGAAGCAAGAGTCCACAAGTTCAAAAGATGCCCGTATTTAAAGGCACTGAAAGCCCAAATTGGGAATCCTTTATTTACCAATTTGAAAGGATTGCAGCTCATCGTGGATGGTCCTCCCATAAGAAGGCTTTCCGTCTTCTAGATTGTTTAGGGGATGTGGCTCTGGAATATGCCAGGAAAGTGAACAAGAATGGTGACTATAAAGAGCTGAAACGGCAATTAAAACAGAGATTCAGCAGAAAGGAAGTACCTATTCTAGCTCGTCGCCAGCTCCCCTTTACAAGGCAATTGGAAAATGAAAATGTGGAGGAATTTTCTCAGCGTGTCTACTTCCTAGCATTAGATGGTTATGAGAGCTGTGAAGGGAACATGATTGAGGAAATAGCGATAGAAACCTTCCTACGTGGCTGTCGAGATAAAGAAGCTGCTATGAAAGCAATGGATAGGGAACCAACAACACTCCAGAAAGCAGTAAAGTATGTAAAAACAGCCATTGCGAACCATCGTGCTTTATACGGGACCAGAGGAAGTACCAGAGTAGCCTCCTATTCTCAACGACAAGTTTCATTCTCGAGCAGGGAGGGATCCCCAGCAAGTGAACCTTCTCCTCGTAGGGCTGATACTAAGCTCTCTAAGGAAGACAACAACAATTCTCTGGATAAGCAAATCTCACACCTGACAACTTTAGTTGAAAAATTAACCACAACAGTTCAACAATCCTTTGGCAGAAATCGGAGTAGTTCACCACTATCAAAAGGGCATTTCCTAGAGAGATCTAGAAGTCCTAGTCAATCACCAGCCAGGGGCCATCACTTCTCGTCTCCAAATAAAAGAGCCAACAATACATCAGATGAAGCGAGAAGCCCAATGAAGGGCGATTTAAACAGAAAAGGGTCAAGCCAGTAGGCCCACACTTGACCCCTGATAAGAGTGGCCTAGGAGACAACGTTGTTACTATTCGAAGGACTTTAGGAAAAAGCATCAAACTAAATGTCACCATAGGAGAAAAGCCTATTAATGCAATTGTTGACACAGCTGCAATGATAACCCTTGTCAATGATAAAATAGTGCCAGACAGCCAGATAGCTACATCTGAGTTCATAAAGCTTAAGGGGCTAGGTGCCGAAATAGTGCATGGTAGATTGCTCAAGAACGTTCCTCTCAATATTGGTGATCTTCATGTAACTTGGGACTGCTGTGCGGTATCAATGGATGATGACATGATCCTGGGACTAGACTTTCTGGAAGCCAACCACGGGATCATCAACATCAAAAGGGGAGTGCTGTTTCTCGAGGGCAGGAAATTTCCTATAAAATTGATATCCGACCCACCTGAAGGGCACAAAAGCTCTCACGTCCGGATACGGAGGACAGCATGTGTACCGCCTAACACTATTGCCAAAGTATCAGTTCAACTAGATAAACCATTATCAAGTGACTATGTTGTTTCCCCTTTACATCTAAAATGTAATGTTCTTGGATCTCATACCCTTGGAAGCGGCTCTACCACAACTATGAGCTTCATTAACGACTCAAATACATCAGTCAAGATCAAAGAGGGTACTGTGGTTGGGGAAGCTGAGGCTTATGCTGAAATATGCTCAAATGAGAGTGATGCTCTTCTCATTAGGAGGAATCAGAAATATGAATCTGATGATAAGTTACCAGAACATCTGACAGATCTGTACGATAGATCAACTTCTGGACTTAGCGACAAGGAGAAGCATCATGTCAAACAGCTGCTAGTGGATTACCAGGACATATTTTCAAAGCATGATTTGGATTTGGGCTGTCTAACCTCAGTTACGCACAGAATAGACACCAAAGATAATCCACCTGTCAAGCATAAGATGAGGAGAACACCACTTGGTTTCCAGGATCAAGAAAAGGCACAACTAGACAAAATGCTAGATGCTGGTGTCATACAACCTTCCAGCTCGAATTGGGCATCAGCACCAGTGCTCGTGAGAAAGAAAGATGGGTCCATGAGGTGGTGTGTAGACTACCGGGCACTTAATGAAAAAACAGTGAAAGATTGCTATCCACTGCCAATTATTGAGGACTGCTTAGACACACTTCAAGGAACTGAATATTTTGCTACCCTTGATATGGCCTCTGGTTACTACCAAATAATGATAGATGAGGAGGATAGGCACAAGACTGCTTTTATTACTCGTTATGGACTCTTTGAACACACCCGTATGGGGATGGGGCTATGCAATGCTCCTGCCACCTTCCAGAGGGCAATGCAACTAGTGCTTCGGGGTTTAACATGGACTCAAGTCTTGGTCTACCTAGATGATGTAGTAGTACTAGGTCGCAACTTTGAGGACAGTCTTCAAAATCTCAGGAAAGCCTTTGACAGATTCAGGCAATATAATTTGAAGCTTAAGCCTAGAAAGTGTGTATTGTTTAAAAAGGAAGTAGAATTTCTGGGGAAAGTAGTCAGTAGTAAAGGCGTATCAATCGCGCCGTCGAAAACAGAAGCTGCTAGGAACTGGCCCACACCCACTAGTACCACTGAGTTGCTCTCTTTCTTGGGATTTCTAAATTACCATAGAGATCACATCCAGCACTACGCTGATATCTGTGCAATCTTGTACGACTTGGCAAATACGAAGGAAAGATGGACCTGGGACACTGTGCACCAAGAAGCATTTGAGAAGGCTAAGATGGCTCTATGTTCAGCACCTTGTTTGTCGTACCCTGACCCTGAAGGACTCTTCATCTTGGACACAGATGCCTCCGATAGGACCATTGGTGCCGTCCTATCACAGGTACAGGAGGGCAAAGAAAAAGTAATTTGTTATGCAAGCCATGTACTCCTAAAGCCTCAACGCAAGTACTGCACGACTAGAAAAGAACTTTTG